TGATTTCTTTGTGTTGGGAACATTCAGAAGCATCTGTACTAGATAAATACACATTTTATAACAATATAATCATCATCTATGAAATGAAATACACATTTAATTGTTGTCAGCCATAGCTATCCTACTGTGCTACAGAACATTAGAAGTTGTTCTTCCTATCCAAATGTACCCTTGTACCTGTTAACCATCCTCTCTAGTTCTTCACAGCCCTCTGATAACCAATATTCTCTCTCCTTCTATGAGATCAACTTTTTTAGCTTCCACATATAAATGAGACTATAAGGTATTTGTTTTCCTGTTCCTGAGTTACTTCATTTAACTTCATGTCCTAAATGCCCATCCATGTTGCCAAAAATGACAGGAATCATTTCTCTTTGTGGCCAAATATTCTATTGTGTGTGTGTGTGTGTGTGTGTGTGTGTGTATACCACATCTTCTTTATATGTTCATCTGTTGATGGACACGTGGCTTGATTTCACATCTTGGTTACTGAGGATAGCAATGCAATAACATAGGAATGCATTGGATTCCTATGGATATTCCTATTGGATATTATATTGGTTTCTTTTCCTTTCAGTATATATGCAGTAGTGGAATCACTGGATCATACAGTAGTTACATTTCTAGTTTTCTGAGGAACCTCCATACTGTTTTCCATACTAATTCACATTCCCACCAACAATGCTTGAAAGTTCCCGTATCTCCATATCCTCACCAACGTGTGTTTTATGTCTTTTTTATAACAGTAATTCAGGCCGGCGCTGCGGCTCACTAGGCTAATCCTCCGCCTTGCGGCGCTGGCACACCTCTAGTCCCGGTCGGGGCGCTGGATTCTGTCCCGGTTGCCCCTCTTCCAGGCCAGCTCTCTGCTGTGGCCCGGGAGTGCAGTGGAGATGGCCCAAGTACTTGGGCCCTGCACCCCATGGGAGACCAGGATAAGCACCTGGTTCCTGCCATCGGATCAGCGTAGTGCGCCAGCCATTGGAGGGTGAACCAACGGCAAAGGAAGACCTTTCTCTCTGTCTCTCTCTCTCACTGTCCACTCTGCCTGTCAAAGGATTAGTGATGTTGAACATTTTTTCTTTTGCTTGTTGGCTATTTGTGTATCTTCTTTTGAGAAATGTCTACTTAAATCATTTGCCCATTTTTTAAAAAAGATTTTTTATTTTTTGCTGCTGGATTCCGTTCTATTTTGGATAGTGACTTCAGATAAGCAGTTTGCAGTATGTCATCTTCTGTTCTGTAGGTGTCTCTGGCTGTTGTTTCCTTTGCTGTGCAGAAGCTTTTTAGGCTATTTGTCAAGTTTGTGTTCCCTGAGCTTTTGAGGTCTCATTAAAAAAAAATCTCAGTCCAGACTAATGTGTTGCAAAGTGTTTCCCTGGTTTTTCTTGTAGTAGTTTCAAGGTTTTGGTCTTACATTTTAAATCTTTGATCCATTTTGAGATGATTTAATATGTGGTAAGAGACAGGGTCTGGTTTCATTCTGCATGTGGATATCCACCTTCTTCCCAGCACTGTTTATTGAAGAGATTTTCCTTTCTCCAATATAAATTCTTGGTGCCTTTGTTGAAAATTAGCTAACCGTGAATGCATGGATTTGTTCTTGGGTTCTCTATTCTCTTCTTTCGATCTGTTTCTGTTTTTATGCCAGCATCTTACTCTTGTGGGTACTGTAGCTTTGTAGTATTTTTTAATTTAATTTTTAAAAAAGATTGTTTATTTGAAAGGCAGAGTTAGAGAAGAGAAGAGACAAGCCATCTTCCATCCGCTGGTTCACTCTCCCAAATGGCTGCCAACGGCCAGGGCTGGGCCAGGCCGAAGCAGGAGCTTCTTTCAGGTCTCCCACATGGTTGCAGGAGTCCAAGGACTTGGGCCATCTTCTGCTGCTTTCTCAGGCCACTAGCAGGGAGCTAGATCTGAAGTGGAGCAGCCAGGTCTTGAACAGACACCCACATGGGCTGCAACACTGCAGATGGCAGCTTAACCTGCTGTGCCATTTTTGACAGGCAGAGTTAGTTGAGAGAGAGAGAGAAAGGTCTTCCTTTTCCATTGGTTCACCCCCCAAATGGCCACTACAGCCGGCGTGCTGCATTGATCCAAAGCCAGGAGCCAAGTGCTTCTTCCTGGTCTCCCATGCAGGTGCAGGGCCCAAGCACTTGGGCCATCCTCCACTGCCTTCCCGGGCCACAGCAGAGAGCTGGACTGGAAGAGGAACAACCGAGACAGAATCCAGCACCCCAACTGGGACTAGAAACTGGGGTGCCGGCGCCGCAGGCAGAGGATTGGCTTAGTGAGCCGCGGCGCTGGCCCACTTTTTTTTTTTTTTTTAAGATTTATTTATTTGAAAGAGTTAGAGAGAGGGAGGACGGAGATCCTCCATTCGCTAGTTTGTTCCCCATATGATTGCATGGGCCAGGGCTGGGCCAGGCTGAAGCCAGATGCCAAGAGCTTCCTCCAGGTCTCCTATATGGGTAGCAGGGGCCCAAGCACCTGGGCTATCCTCTGCTAATCTTCCGAGGCCACCAGCAGAGAGCTGGATCAGAAATGGAGCAGCAGGGACGTGAAGCGGTGCCCATAAGGGATGCTAGCATCGCAGGTGGAAGCTTCATGCACCACACCACAATGCCGGCCCTGGTGTGGACCTTTAAACAGTATTAATTTTTCCAGTCCATGAACACAGATGTCTTTCCATAGTTTGTTATCCTCTTCAGTTTCTTTCATCAGTGCTTTTATAATTTTTGTTGTACAATTCTTTTACATTCTTGGGAATATAATCACTTTTTAAGTTTTAAAATAATAATTGCAAAGAACTGTGGTTGTTAAAACAGTGCAAACACAACACAGAGGATGTGGAAAAAAAAAGGAAATCTGTAACCATAACATTCTGATACATATGTTACTCTCGTTGTTTGATTTCCTTCCAATCACTTTCAGATATTTCAGAAATTTTACTTTTTACCATAGGTACCTGAGCACTTGATGGGAGAATTGTATTAAGCGATGAATTTATTTTGGCACAACTGTCTTTGAAATCCATGCATAGTTTTTTCATAATATACATTTCTATGTATTTCTGAAGATTCCTCATGCATGGATTTCAAGGTTAGTTTGCTTCAAAATACACTTACATTTTAATTCCATTACTGTCGTAAGTACCCAGGTTAGATGCTATGGGGGGAATGTTAGAAGCAAGACCCTTTTAGTTCCTTATAGTCTAGTTTTTGAGGTAATTATTCAAGAGAAAATGGCCAACTTAAAACCTTAAACGTAACCTCCCTCTAGTAAGATTTGAAGCAGCTTGCAGTAACCGATGGGGGTCAAAAGATACACATAAGGGCCAGCTGCAGTGCCAGCATCCCCATACGGGCACTGGTTCAAGTCTCAGCTGCTCCACTTCCCATCTAGCTCTCTGCTGTGGCCTGGGAAAGCAGAAGATGGCCCAAGTCCTTGGGCCCCTGCGCCCACATGGGAGACCTGGAAGAGGCCCCTGGCTTCGGATCGGCGCAGCTCCGACCGTTGCAGCCAACTGGGGAGTGAACCAGCAGATGGAAGACCTGCCTCTCTCTGCTGTTCCTTCTCTGTAATTCTTTCCAATAAAGAAAGAAATCTTTTTTTTAAAGACACACATATACTAAGATGGGATAAAAGGGCTAGAACCAAGTCACACAGAAATAGGAAAGGGCTGTTTTGTACTCATTACTGTTTTACTGTGGTTTCCTTATCTAGAGGAGCAGCTCAGTGATTATTCATATACTATCCTTCATATATCTTACATATTATGTTCATATATATTATATATAATGAATGAATAATCACAAGTATACAAAATTGCATTATTTATAGCATAGGCAGTGAGACTGGAGTAGCTTTGGTTTACTCAGCTGCCAAAGCAGATTCCTTGTGCATTTGTTACGTAAGATTTTTAACATAAGGGTCGGCAGTTTCAGCTACAGAACGACAAGGCAAGAATTGAGCTGCATGGCAGCAGCCTCACTGCTGAGCACACACATCACTGGTTAGAACTGAGGCAGGTGTAGCATTGGTTAAAATGCTAGTTGCCGTCAGGGTGTGAGAGAGAACTTCCCCCACTCCCACATGTAAGCTGTGTGTGTCCCGGCACAGTGAGAGTGGTAGCCCTGTTTAGATTTCCCTGATTGTGTGGTTCTGACCAGTTGTCCATGAGTCCTTCTGCCAGGTCATGGGTAACTAAATAGTAAGTCTGGGCATCAAGGAAGGCATAAAAGTTATGTCGATCATCATTGGAGCGACCTTATAAACCTGATTCATAGTATACAGTTGTCTCTTGAAATTCAGCAAATAAAGTTGAACATTATCATGACCTAAATAAGTTTTGCAAATAAAAATAAGCATGAAGACAAGTTCTCTGTATTTCAGCATATTTTAGAAGCAACATGGCCAGCATCTCTGGTGTTACTGTATGTAAAATTGCTGTCCACTCTCCCCTCTCCTAACTCCCTCCTTTAAAACAGCAATGTATACCATATCTATTTGAAATTTTAAAGAAATTTTTTTAAAGATTTAATACTATCTTTTGGTAAATAAGGGAAGAATTGAAATGTCATGTGAATACTATTTTCATAAGTAATAAGTAAATAGTATTAACTGTATCTTAGTATGTTTTTGGATGATTCTCTATATACTTCCATTTCTGAAATTTTCTGTACTAGGTAGAATCATGTAATCACCATGTAGGATTTATACTCAGGAAACATTATTAAAGTGACATGTAACATAAAAAATACATGATGAAAAGTAGTGAAATAAGATTCGGGCAACCTGAGTTAGTAACAAATTATTTGTAATACTTTTGTGCCTTAGTTGTGCTGTATGTCCGTGGTGAGGCAATTCTCTCCCTCTGCTCGCTCAGAAGGATCGGTTACATAAGCAGATGATGTTTGCTTCTGCGGCTTCCAGGTAGACACGGAGTCAGTTTGCGGAACAAATTATTGTTAGTGACTTCTCTGGAATTTGACTTACAGAGAAAGCAAAAGCCTCCAATGGATGTGTCCTAGTGCACTGTTTGGCTGGGATCTCGCGCTCTGCCACCATTGCCATAGCCTACATCATGAAGAGGATGGATATGTCTCTGGATGAAGCTTACAGGTGAGGACAGGAACATGTCTTGTGTGATCCCTCATGTTTCAGGTCAGATGCACAGCCAGACGGGAGCGTGGCACCAGAGGAAAGCAGATCATGATGATTTTAGGCTCACTCCTGTGGTTTTCTAATGGCCTCAGAAAGACTGGGGGGAAATGCAGGTTTATTATTAAGCACTACTGCTAATTCATCCTTAGTCACTTACTGAAGGAACAACACGTCCAGGCAGAGAGTGCTGTCTTACTAGCTAAGTTTATTTCTTACCCTAGTGGTAGTCGTATTTTTCATTTGCATACAAGGGGAAAAGCTTGAGTTGAATGCTCATTACTGACTCCTGACGCTGCTTTAAGCTTTGTGTCGCCGTGAGGAAGAAGTCTACTGCACGCAGTGTAGAACCGCAGTAACCCCCAGCTCCATTCAGTGAGTAAAGTCTCCTGAGTCCTAGAGCTGGTCAGGTTCGGTGGGTGATTTTTGGCTGGATCACCTCACTGTTTTCTCAAAAATGGCAGGCAGCAAATGCAGTGCCCCCGGGCTGGACTTGCATCTACTGACAGATGAGTGACTCAGCCCCTCCCCTCTATGCCTTGTTGAATAGAGGTGTTTTCACTTCCACGTGACAAAGAACCAAAAATACAGCCACAGGGAGCAGGCCTGTTAACAGTTGGACTTTCCTCAAATTGGAAAATTCTGGAGAAAAGTGACCTAGCTGAACCGCTTCTCAGGTGAGGAGGGAGACAGTAGGGCGAGGGCCCTCCCCGTCATCTGCATTCGCTCCCTTGCCCTCTTCTCAGGCTTCTCCCCTGGGGGCCTCCTGCTCAGTCCAGAAGGGTGGGCAGCCTTCTCATGTTCCTAAGTCTTCCTACGCGGCCCCTCTGTTTAATCTTGCCTAGATGAGCCAGATATTCCTGGCTTTGTTGATTTCCTTTGGGGACTTGATTTCCATGGAGATTATTTTACATGTTTCTTGTTCTTATGCTGATGCAGATTTTCCGTGTGGTTTTACTCCTGTGGCCTCTGAAGGAGTTGTCTGCTATCTCCAAGAGGCTTTGTTCATCCAGTGAAACAGGAAAGCCAGGAGTACTTTAAGATTTATTTATTTATTTCAAAGAGTTACACAGAGAGAGAGAGGTCTTCTATCCACTGGTTCACTCTCCAGTTGGCCACAATGGCCAGAGCTGTGCTGATCTGAAGCCAAGAGCTTCCTTCCGGTCTCCCACACAGGTGCAGAGGATTTGAGCCATCTTCCACTGCTTTTCCAGGTCACAGCAGAGAGCTGGATAGGAAGTGGAGCAGCGAGGACTTGAACCGGCGCCTATATGGGATGCCAGCACTGCAGGCGGCAGCTTTACCTGCTGCACCGCAGTGCCAGCCCCTTAGGAGCTACTTTTGATCCCTTGATGAATCTTTACAATGTTGGTTATAAAAAATGGACCCAAACATTAGGCAAACTTGGCTTTGAAGCCCAGGGCCCTCATTTAGTGGCTGTATGGATTGGGGACATTGTGTACCCATATAATGGGGATAATCTCACCCACCTAATGTAGGGTAGTTTTGAGGATGAAATAATTCAGTGCTTTAGTGTAACGAAGCCATTTTGTGGCTGGTTATTCTGTTGAGCCAAAAAAGAGCGGCTCAGGATTGTGTGCTGATACTTTGACCATTTGATACCATCTTTTGTCATTAATTTCAAATGTGAAAACTTTTGAAGTTATTATAGGTCCTTTGAGAGAAGATGATAGGGAAACATTGGAGCTGGGGACTACTTCTGAGGGTAGCACTGGTGTGTGTGTGTGCTGGTGGGGAGTCCTTTCTTATTAGTCCTAGTCCAAGTCTCAAGTCCTTGAAAAGAGGCTGAAACCTGAGCTCTGTGGGCCGGACTGCGGCCCTGTTGGTAAGCTCCTCCCCACCCCCAGAGGCCCCTGGTATTTGCTACCTGAGCATCTCTGATCTTGTGAATCAATCATCTCCCAAAGGTATTTGGGAAGGTCTAATAATTCCCTCTGTCGTTTATTTACTTTATATTCATTTATATTTCATAATTACAGCTTTAGGAACATGGGGATTCTTCTCACCCGAGAAACCCTTCCATTCACTCTCTCTCCCCTCCTCCTCCTCCCTCATTCCCACTAAGATTTATTTTCAATTAACTTTACTTAAGAGTTAATCATGGGCCGGCGCCGCGGCTCACTAGGCTAATCCTCCGCCTTGTAGCACCGGCACACTGGGTTCTAGTCCCGGTCGGGGCGCCGGATTCTGTCCCGGTTGCCCCTCTTCCAGGCAAGCTCTCTGCTGTGGCCAGGGAGTGCCGTGGAGGATGGCCCAAGTGCTTGGGCCCTGCACCCCATGGGAGACCAGGAGAAGCACCTGGCTCCTGCCATCGAATCAGCGCAGTGTGCTGGCCGCGGTGGCCACTGGAGGGTGAACCAACGGCAAAGGAAGACCTTTCTCTCTCTCTCACTGTCCACTCTGCCTGTCAAAAAGAGTTAATCATATGTGTATTAAGTATGGGGAAAAAACCTGTTCCTCAACATTCGAGACAAGGGCAGTTCAAAGTCACTGCTTCTTCCAGTGTCAGTTTCCTATAGGTTACCTTTTAGGTGTCACAGGTCAAGGAGGACATCTGGTATTTGTCCCTTGGGACTGGCTCATTTCACTAAGTGTGATGTTTTCAAGGCTTCATCCAATGGCAAATGACCGGATTCTTTTTTTTACCACTGCGTAGTATTCTATAGTGTCACAAGTATGCTTTATCTTAAGAACATAAGTAAGACTGACTGACTTGTCTTTCCTTAATAGATTTGTGAAAGAGAAAAGACCTACTATCTCTCCAAACTTCAATTTTCTGGGCCAACTCCTGGACTATGAGAAGAAGATTAAGACCCAGCCTGGCGCGTCGGGGCCCAAGAGCAAACTGAAGCTGCTGCACGTAGAGAAGCCACGTGAGCCTGTCCCTGCAGCCTCAGGGGGTGGGCAGAACAGCGAGGTGTCCCTCGGTCCGCCCTGCGCCCACTCTGCTACCTCAGAGGCAGCAGGGCCGAGGCCTGTGCAGCCGCCCAGTGCGCCTGGCCTGCAGCCAGCGCTGCCGCTGCCGGAGGACAGCTCGCTGGCGCAGGCGCTCAATGGGCTGCACCTGTCCTCGGACAAGCTGGAAGACAGCAGCAAGCTCAAGCGGTCCTTCTCTCTGGACATCAAGTCAGTGTCGTGCTCAGCCAGCATGGCCGCATCTTTGCACGGCTTCTCCTCGTCCGAAGACGCTCTGGAGTACTTTAAGCCTTCCACGGCGCTGGATGGGACCAGCAAGCTCTGCCAGTTCTCCCCCGTGCAGGAAGTATCAGAGCAGACTCCAGAAAGCAGCCCGGATACAGAGCAGGCCAGCGTCCCCAAGAAGCCTCAGCCTCCCAGGCCCTCGGAGAGCCAGAGCAAGCGGCTGCACTCGCTGAGAAGCAGCACGAGCGGCGCGCCCCAGAGGTCCTTCCTGTCTCCCCTGCATCGCAGCGGGAGTGTGGAGGACAATTACCACACCAACTTCCTCTTCGGCCTCTCCACCAGCCAGCAACACCTCGCCAAGTCTGCTGCGGGGCTGGGCCTCAAGGGCTGGCACTCCGACATCTTGGCGCCCCAGACTTCTGCCCCTTCCCTGACCAACAGCTGGTATTTCGCTGCGGAGTCCTCTCACTTCTACTCGGCCTCGGCCATCTACGGAGGCAGTGCCAGTTACTCTGCCTACAGCTGTAGCCAGCTGCCCACGGGCAGTGACCAGGTCTACTCTGTGCGGAGGCGGCAGAAGCCAAGTGACAGAGTGGACTCACGGCGGAGCTGGCACGAAGAGAGCCCCTTTGAAAAGCAGTTTAAGCGCAGAAGCTGCCAGATGGAATTCGGAGAGAGCATCATGTCAGAGAACAGGTCGCGGGAAGAACTGGGCAAAGTGGGCAGCCAGTCTAGCTTTTCCGGCAGCATGGAAATCATCGAGGTCTCCTGAGTAGACAGACCCTCGTGACCGCTATTGACAATTTTGTCTTGTTCACAGAAATTCCCTGTAAATCTGAAATATATATATATGTACATACATATATATTTTTGGAAAATGGAGCTATGGTGTAAAAGCAAACAGTGGATCAGCACAGTTGTTCTCTTAACATCTGCAAGTGTGAGATCAGCTCATGTTTCTCCCGACAAAAGTGGAAGGGCAGATGTTAGAATTTCCCCTGGACAGAGGAAAGTTTTATTCAATGACTTGTACATCCTCGTTCTTTTTGGTGTTAGAAGACAAAAATCCCCTGCTGTTTTCACATCGTGCTAGAGCGATCTCAGACACTTTGTCTAGTCTCTTCCCTTCCCTAGTGCACCTTAGCGCTGACTGAGCCAGCTTGTGGGTCGGGTGGGTAGACCTCTTAGGGACAGAACCTAGTGGTAAATCCAAGAGAAATGGTCTCATCCAAACCTGATTCACAAATCCAAACTCACCTGACAGCCGAGAGGTGAGCATCACTCTGCTGGACAGACCATTAGGGGCCTTGCCAAGACTTACTTTAGAACAAACCCAGTACCTCAGACAGCAGTGTCGGGGCGTGCACCACTACCAGGTCTGGTGGCCTGTTTCCAGGTGTTGTGAAGAGCTAGGGAGCTAGTCACTCTGCAGACCAGTTCAAACTGTCTGTGCACAAAATCCCGGTGGGGCCTGGGTGGAGGAAGTTAACTTTCGTTTTCTCCTCAACTCCATTGAGGGAGAGAAGGCAACCCATCTAGGATTCAGCTCAGCCAGCGGTCTGGCAGCGTAATGATTCAAGCTAGGCTGGGAGGCTAAGCAAGTCTACCTCCCTCGATAAATGAAAGAACTGTGTAAAATGGATTGTTGATCCTTTAAATAAAGAGTAACTTGGTTTAATGCCAAATGTGAATTTCTTTGGGTTGGTAGCGAGGATCGGCACCCTCAAGTTCTCAGCCAAAGTTGATGCTTCTTGTTTCAGTGCACGGCTACAGTTTGTAGAAGTGGAACAGTACGGCAGAACTGTATAGGCAGCTACTCAGAACTCCAGACAGACGCAGAACGAGCAGCGGGAGCGTGGTTTCCTCTGCGGCTCTCTCCCCTTGGTCTGCGATGCAGGCGGCTTTTCCATCATCGCCTCAGACTCACGGTTCAGGAGGGCTGGCGAGAGGCTGTAGTTCCGCAAGGACGGCCCACGGGCGGAGCACAGGAAGGCCACGGCTGTGGGATGGCGCTGCGTTCAGCGGGGCAGGAAGCTGCAGCCTCCCCGGCACCGCGCAGAAGGGGCCTCCCTCAACGGCCCAACACCAGGGGCTTGTCAGTCCTTGACCGCTGTGTAGACTCGGTCCTGGCGGCTGGAAAGAGGAGGTAATCAGTGATAATGCCCATCTCCTTTCAACTTCCTGGCTTCAGCCTTCCCAGCCACAGCCCGGTCCTCTCTGGAAGCCGTAACTCACGGGGGGGGGGGGGGGGGGCAGGGTGCTGTCCTCGTCCTTCACTACTGTGAGGGTAGCTGCTGCTGCCTCACATCTCAGGTCTTTCTACATCCCAGCACTGGACAGCCCTCTGACGGGGATGTGACTTCACGTTTCCTACGGTGACTGCTAACGCCGGCGTGCACCGGTGGGACAGATCCTGAGTGTGTTTCCCAGGCGTGGCTGGTGAGGTACAGAGCATGTGCTGTGACGTGGCGCAGAGCGAGCCATGTCGGGCACACATGGTTACCACCCTGGGAAACTGCCGAGTGACCTGAGCGCTTACAGACACTGAGATCTCTGGTGTGATCACTCTCAGGGTTTCCCACAGTGATGTGGATGTGCTGTGTGTACACCAAACGTGTGACAGTTCACCGCTTCCAGGATCTTGTCACATCTGCTGAGCATTTTAAAGATGTAAAAGCACCGGCTCCGTTCGTGTTTTCCAACGTGAGGAACACGGCTTCAGTGAGCTCTTTGGGCAAAACTGTGCCTTGTTAGGTAGGGTTTCTCCTGGCGTGGTCCTCTGCCTCCCGCACTGTGCTGCAGGCCCAACAGCAGCCTTAGCCCTTGCTCACAAACGTCACACAGTCCTTTGCATTGAGGTGGCCAAGGCAAGTCCTGGCACGCGTAGCCGTGGGTGTGCGGGGCGCCCTCCTCCCCGTGGGACACCGGGGAAGCCCTGCAGGTGGCTGGCGCACTGCAGATGGGCTAGAGCGCCCCTAGATGTCTGAGGAATGCTGGAGGATGGTTTAGGCCGTCTGTGAAGTGAGCAGAGTGTGCGTCTGCGTGTTTAATATGACGAGAATTCTTCCGAAGGCAAGCTGATGATGACATTGTGTGTTTCTCATTTCGATGTGCGTTAATATGAAATAAAACTGGTACCTGTTTCTGCGTAACGAAAGGACCTCTCTTTGCAGCTGTAAACTTGGTGGGAACAGTAATGTCCGTGTGGCCAAGCGAGGCGGCAGTGGAAGCCATGCTGCTACTCGGACATACGTGAGGACACAGTTCAGAGCCCATCGGCGGTGTTGTCGGACGCATGGAGCCTTGTCGTTCTCATGCACTGGTCGTTAGCTAGCAGTTTGTGCCAGCTTTCACTCCTTAACGTGAATACCAAATGCACTTCGTTCCTATTTTTGCACTGATGGATTCCAGGACATACAAGTACAAAGCAGGAGGGTAAGACCAGCTCCACACTCCACTACACAGTAACGTAAGACGTGAATGTCTTTATAATTCTTAGAGGAGACGCAGGGCGGCTACTCACCGAAGCCCTGTGCCCCATTCTTGTGACACCTCAGCGAGTCCCCTGCTGACCACAGTGGACGTGATGCCTGCGGAGAGCAGCTCCGTACAGCAGTTAGCACCAGGGCTGAAGCGGCCATCGCAGTGCAGCCAAGTGACTGAGACCACGGGTGACCTCATTCGGCTTGGTTGTAAAGGGCCTCTGAGTCGAGGCTGAATTTAAGAAAATTTAAAAGCAGAAAGGAGTGGACTGGGCGAGCTAGCACTAGAAGAGCTGTCTTAGGCAGGGCCCTCCAGGAAGAGAGATGGGAAGGGGCTGAAAGGAATGTGAGTAAGTGAGCTCACAGCCATGAAAGGCTGGAGAGGAGAAGGCGTTTCCCAAGATCCCCTTCACCCGCAGCTCTGGGAAAGCTGGGAGATCCACCCAGCCACCTTCTGACAGGCAGAGCTCGGGCCTCCCAGAGGCCATCCTGAGCCTGTGTGGGAGGACTGGGCTTAATCTTAGGGGAAAGCGGGGAAGGTGCAGATTTCTGAGATGTGAAGAAAATAAAGCCAAACAGGACCGAGCGTTCAGCGTCGGAGATGATGGTGAAGGGTGGGGGATACCCTGCAACTGGTTGGTGAACACAGCCTCGTGACAGTTGTTTTAAATACTCTTAGCCTAGTTTTGTTTTTCTGACATAAGAATATTTAGAGCTAGTCAACAAATGTGGGTGTTTTTCTCTGAATGTTACTCTTCTGCATCTATAAACAGGGAAGGAAGTGACTGCTAGCATTCTGGGGACCCATTCATTCTCGTACAACATAAACTTGGTCGTATCTTTCAAGTATTACAAAATCAACTGCAAAATTACAGCAGTCTTAGAAGTTACTTACAGTCATGTTTCGGTTTATGTGCTAGAGATAACCAAACTGTGTGTGTGTAAAAAAAACAAATAGACTTCTTTTGGTTCAGCACCAACTCCAGAATCCATTCAGAACCCCCCCCCCCCCAAGGAAACAGACTGCGATCCTGCTGCAGCCGCGTCCTGGGCAAGCAGGGGGACTTGGGAGAGGGTTAGTTCCGCTGTTGTCGGGGCTCTCCCTGACCAGGGATGGGCAACTTCAAAGAATAAACAAAGTCCCTGGTTAGGCCGATGCCTGCTCCATCCCCAGTTACAGCTTCTTGCTGATGCGCGCCCTGGAAGGCAGCAGGGGACAGCTCAAGTAGCTGGGTCGCTGCCACTCACGTGGGAAACTTGAGTCCCTGGCTCTTGGACACTTGGAAATTGAAGCAGCAGATGGCTGGGCTCTCAGCTTCTCAGAAATTTAAAGAAAAAAATTTTTAAAGAACACTTGGTTTACACAAGCTTTTGGTGTAAGTCGTGGCTCAAGGGCTGAGCACTCATTGAAGAATTAACTGGGTCTTCAGCGAGTCCCATCGGGTCTCGCGCAGATGCTGGCAGCGCTGAACACCTTTCGAAGGGCTGAGCAGGCATCAGTGCGCGAGACACTGGTGACCGGCAGCCAGCAGCCAACGTGGCTGCCTTCAGGTGCTCAGTTCTCTGAGTTTCTGGTTTGAAGCTTGCGAGTGACAGTTGTCTGGCTCCCTGCATCTCTGTAGGCATGACACGAATGAGAGGCGCGTGCCTGGAGGGCCAGAAACCACCAGAATTCAGTGCTGTTTCTACTAAGTTAGTGAACAACGACGACACCTCCAAGGAACTCTGGTTCTTAACGGCAGGACGAGGATCAGGCTGGGGGAAAAGTAAACCCTTACTCCATTTTATACCTCAGCAGTCCACACTGCTCCTTCGGTCTCCAGTAATTTCTTACAGAGTACGAGTTCATCTGAGTTTAGCTGAATTCTAATAGTAGGAAGACAAAACTCTCATGAAGATTTGGGTACCTGTTGGCCTGGCTCTCCTTGGTGAGGATTCCCAGCTTGGCTTTGCACCTGCTGGCGGGGATGCCAGAGCGAAGCAAGTCCTACAGCCCACACACAAATGGCACGTGGCAGTCTCCAGAACCAGCGGTTTGTGTAGCCTTGGCAAGTGTGTGTCTATGATGCTCACACTTGAGGGTAACATTACCAGCCTCTTTTGTAAGTCTGAGGAAAAAGGAATATCCAGAGAGTACCAACACACACACACACACACACACAATTTCTTGAGTACACGCCTACAACTCGGGATATAGAGTTCTTGAAACCCAGTTCATCAAATATTTCCTCTGCAGAGAACAATAGGGGGTTATCTAAGGCCAAGACAGATTTCGAATTCTGAAGAGCTCATTGTCTAAGATGCTGAAGACTGTACGATGGTACTTCAAAGTTCATGGAAAGAATGGAATTAAAAGATATGTTTATTTTGGCACAAAGACGTTTTGTAATCCATGCAGTTGTCATAATGCATTTTCCATGAACTTTGTGAAGACCGCATGCAATTATATGAAGACAGCCCATAAGCTCATGTATGAAGAATGATAAAACTTTAAGGGAAACAAGGACATGAAATGTGTACTTCCATTAGCTCTTAACCCCAGGATTCATTTACCATACATTTAAACGTACCATCTAATACAAGGGGTGAAGGCCAGCTTCTACTGACCTTCATGTGATAAGATAAGGAGCATGCAGCACAGGGCACAAACAAGTCGACTGATAAGCAAAACAGGTTCTGAAAGCAGCCAGCAGACACCTTATCTAAGTTAAGCGGAGGGAGGAGGGCTGCTCCCCCCAGTACCAAGCCCTGACCCACAGCTGGGAGACAACAGGTAAAAGCGCTCCTGATTGGTGCCAGAGTTCTCAGGTAGTGATGACACTGGCCTCTGGGGTCTGGAGGGGCCTGGGAGCCCATCCAGAGCGCTCCTGTGGCAGGGACGTGGAAACGGGCCCACCAGGACCACAGCTGCAAACCCCCAGCAGGAGCTCCTTCACGACCCCAGGCTGCTTCCTCCTTCCTCATCCCTGCAACATCCCACGGCTGCCGGACAGGTCATTGGGCATTAACCAACAGAGACCCAGAACTGTCTCCCAAACATCACTCAGATACCCAGAATCCAACAGGAAAGAGGGCAATAGTGAGGTGGGGAAGGCCTGGTAGTGCCATGTTCCCAGTCAGTGGTCAGAGGAGCCACTGGCAGTGGTGTAGAATGGCTAAAGGGTTCTTAAGCAGTTACAGGAGCTGTGAGAAGTCTCCGCGCAGCTGTTTCTCTACCAGACCACAGCGCGGATGCTCGGCAAGGCAGGTGGGTACCGTGGTGGGGCAGGGAGTGAGGACAACAGACAGGCAACGAGCAAAGACCCACACTGGCCTCTCCTGGCTCCTGACCGCCTTCCTCACCCTGCAGATGCTGCAGAAGCTGGCACTCACTCGCTGGCCCACGATGTGCAAAAGCTGAAGGGTGGGTTCCATGGGAGCAGGGACAGCAGTATGCAAGAGACAGAACGGCCTGAACCACACCAGCTGAGCGAGTGGGCATGGCTGATGCTTTCCCTCCACTTCTGAACCTCATGGCCTCACCAGAAACAAACAGGGAATTCTGGAAATGCAGCTTAACCTAGCCAAGTTGACACTGCAAAATCAGTGTACACCACAAATAGTAAATTTATTAGAATTCTTTCCAGGGGCCAGTGCCGTGGTGTAGAGGAGTAAGCTGCGACCTGCGACACTGGGCTCCCATATGGGTACCGGTTCATGTCCTGGCTTCTCCACTCCCTATCCAGCTCCCTGCTAATGGCCTGGGAAAGCCATCGGGAGATGGCCAAGTGCTTGGCCCTTTGCCACCCACATGGGAGACCTGGAAGAAGCTCTTGGCTTCAACCTGGCCCAGTCCTAGCCATTTAGGAGGTAAAACAGCAGATGGCAGATCTGTCTCTCCTCCTCTGCTTCTATGCAGTAAGAAGAAGCCTGTCACCTCTCTACTTTGGACTCATGTTTGTTTGTCTAACTTCTTTGTAATATGGCAAGCTGGCTGGCTGGCTGAGCGCACTTCTTCAGGCCAGGCCTGCCTTCGCCATGTTCAGCCATGAACTGAGCAAGCCCAGCCCTTTGAGGCTTGGAGTGAATCCCATTTGGTGCTTTTACTTGTCAGCCACATTAAGTGCAGTGAGGACAACGGTACCTGTGCCCTGAGCGCCTGTCCCAGCTTTCTAGATGATCAGCCCTTCATTCTCTGAGACTGCAGGCTTGGCCCTGGAGTCAGAGCTGGGCTCTGCACACTCTAGGAACCCAACAAGAGTCAAGAATGGCGAAGGCTCAAAAATGCCACCACTTCCTGTCAGTGTACGTGAAGGCAATGCAGGCACTCACTGGACTGTTCTCTCAACTTTCCTGCCAGTTCAAAATATTAGGAAAAAACAGTACTTGAGCGTAGGTGGGACACAGTCTAGTCACACAAGATGTTAGAATTCACAGTGAAATGATAACATTAAACACTACAGAAAGAACCCAACAGCATGACACAGTATGGGAAGAAGGCGATGGACTTGAATATAGTCGGGAACCAGATCCTCACACGTGGGAATTCCACGTACAACGGCAAAGATACAACAAGCAGATCCCTGGCGCCAGCGTGGACTATCCAGTAAATGCTGCTACCCACCTCTCCCACAGCATTTCAATCCCAGCTATCTACTGGCTTCTAAAGTATACATCTTTCTGATTTATGTCCTCCAATGAACTGTTCTAGAAATGGTAAATGGCCCCAGTAAGAACCTGGTCATCAGGGCAGGTGGTTAATCCTCCACCTGCAGCGCCGGCATCCCATATGGGCGCTGGTTCTAATCCCGGCTGCCCCTCTTCCAATCTAGCTCCCTGCTATGGCCTGGGAAAGCAGTAGAAGATGGCCCAGGTCCTTGGGCCCTGCACCCACATAGGAGACTGGGAAGAAGCACCTGGCTCCTGGCTTTGGATCAGCGCAGCTCTGGCCATTGCGGCCATCTGGGGAGTGAACCAACAGAAGGAAGACCTTTCTGTCTTTCCCTCTCACTGTCTGTAACTCTTCCTCCCAAATAAACAAACAAACATCTTATAAATAAAAAGAACCTGGTCATCAGAAGGCATTATAATGACCACCTTTTTTTTCTTTCCCTCATGAGCTGGGTCCAAGGAAAGGTTAAAAGAACAGGCGTCCAACCCCAGCTCACTGCTTCCAGCCCCTCCCTCAGGCCAGGCTGGATGGCCCACCCAGCGTCCCAGTGAGGAGGCAGAGGCACCAGTCCCCAGGAAGGCAAAAGGTGTAAAGGTCATCCTTTGAGAAGGGCAGACACTTTCCTGGGCCTCTTCTTGTGGTTCTGGTTTCCAGCTGGGCCTCCCAGCTTAGAATAAATGAGCAGTCTTGAGGTGGGAAGGGAGAGGAGCAGTAGAAAATACTAGCAGCTACCAACTTTTTGCACTATTTCTGAGTTCAAAGTTTTTCTTCCATTTAGCTTGAATATTCATGCCTCTTGTCATCCAGTTTTACTGTATTCTGTGTTCTTGGAGCATGGCAGCATCTGATTCAAATAGAAGATTAGGATTAAAGAGTAGCTGATATATGCTAAATGAAGTGGGATCAATTTTAATCTTCTAACTATATCATAAGGGTGTTTCTGGCATCTTAAAAATGCCTACTTGGGGCCAGCACTGTAGTGCAGCGGGTTAACGCCCTGGCCTGAAGTGCTGGCATCCCATATGGGCACTGGTTCGCGACCCAGCTGCTCCACTTCCCATCCAGCTCTCTGCTGTGGCCTGGGAAAACAGTAGAAGATGGCTCAAGTCCTTGGGCCCCTGCACCCACATGGGAGACCTGGAGGAAGCTCCTGGCTTCGGATGAGCACAGCTCCGGCTGTTGCGGCCAATTGGGGAGTGAACCATTGGATGGAAGACCTCTCTCTCCCTCTCTTTGCCTCTCTACTCTTTGTGGCTCTAACTTTCGAATAAATAAATAAATCTTAAAAAAATAAAAATAAAAAACAAAACACCTACTGAGGTTTGGAGGAGTCAAGGGAACAAGGCAGAAGCCTGCAGGACACCCTGGCCCCAGCGACCTCCTTAAGCCCCAGTCTCAACTTGTGCCGACTTCCGCTCCTCCAACCGTGCTTCTCCAGGCTTTTCTTCCATCATAGCACCTGTGACAGGGAAGGCCCTGCACTAAGCACTCTGCTATTTAAACTGCTCCTTTCCTAAGCTCCTGCAGAAATTCAGCCGCATGTTGATTTTTTCTCTCTCCAGAATGGAAGGGCAAGGGCTACTTGGACATTCTCACATCCTTGGCACAACGGCTGGCATGCCAAAAGGGCTCAGTGTCTGCTGAACGAACGACCCTGCAGTCAGCTGTCAAAGCCTTAATGTCCCCTGTGTTTAGAAGGCCTAAGAAAAACAAATGCTGCTTAAACCGTGTTAGAAAATCGGACTCTTGCTAGTGCTGGCGTGACAGAAAGTTCAAGCTGGTCTGCTCAAGGAAACCAGCTGTCAGTGGTGAACCTGAGTCTGATGTAGGTGTAGGGTGGACTCGTCAGCATCCGATGATGACACACAAGGGACACTGTGACTGGCATACTACAAAGAACCAGTGTTCGTGGGGGCAGCAAGAGGGGTCCCAGGAGAGACTGGACACGGAGGCAACAGCACAGGCACAGGAAAAGTGCTCAGACCTCGATTAAATCAGCTCTTTATGTTCCCAGCCCACACCCAGAGTCTGCTGAGTCCTGTTCCCCGAGGGCACCGAGGACACAGCCGCTTCAACTATGTTCCCTTTTACTGCGTGCTTCCATTCCCAACAGCAGACCAGGCCACGTACACTCTCAAGTGAAAAACAAAACAAAATAGAAAATAATTCTCAATGCAGAGTTCTTTAAAGAGTTCCTAATAATCCAAATGTAACTGGTTGTCACCTAGAACTCATCGGTCCGTTTTGCACAGGGCTTATGCGTCAAAGACAGCAGCAGGGCCAGGTGAGCCCTTCACCGGCTCGGCTGCTTCATGTCCACCAGCCTCGAGCTCTGGCCACGTCCTCGGCGGGCTGGCATCTGGCAGGCGGGGCGGGCCCTAGAGCTGGAGCTCGCGGCCGGGCTTCACGCTGAAGGGCTCCAGTCGCTCGCCCTCGGGCAGCAGGCTGTTGAGCCGCTCCATCAGCGGCACCGTCTGGTCGATGCCCATCTGTATGCGGCGGAGGATGGCGGACATCTCGTTGACTTTCTGGATCTGCTCGGCGTATTTGGCGTATCTTTTCTGGCGCTCCTGCATGAAACTAAAGAGGGTTTCTACAGACAGATCCATCTGTAGAAGGCAAAGAGAAGTAAAACACATTACACATTGTTTAGCCACGTCCTCGCGAGCGGGTCAGCGTCCGGCGAGAGGAGCGGAGCCCCGTGGCTCAAGCGGAAGCTGACCAGGTCCTCTGGCCGTACTGGGGGCAGCGCGCCCTGCAGCCGGCCCCGTCTTCAGGGAAGGACCTGCCCCCGGAAGAAGGCAGGATTCGGTGCCTGCAGAAGGTGCTCAAACTGGTTCCCAATATCTTGTATTGACGGTCAGGGCCTATCGGCTCTTCTGGCTGAGCCACTGCATAAACAGACCCAAAATACCAGCCAATCAAATCCAGGAATATACCAAGGTGGGGGGGGGGCGGGCATCATGACCAAGTTTTGCTTCTCTCAGGCAGAGAAAACTTAACCTGTGTCTATGAAAAACCTACAGCTAACATCATACATCGTTCCTGGTGAAAGATACTTTTCTCCCTAAGGTCGGGAACAGGCCAAGGACTCCTTCACCCTTACCACTTGTATTCAGCGTTTGACTTGAGGCCCTAGTCAGAGCAATAAACACACAATACTTTTTTAAAGGCATGAAATTGGAAAAGAATAAATTAAAGAGTCTATCTGCAGATGACAAGACAGTATATTGCAAAATCTGAAGCAAACAACCCAGGACTAATTAAAACAAACAAGCGAATTTATCAAAGTTGCAAGATACACTGTTTTTATATAAAAATCAATTGTATTTCTATATAATAATTAACAAGTGATATTGGAATTAAAGAATGCTATTTAAAATTGTATCAGAAATAAGAGAAAACTCAACAAAATGTGTATAATCCATGCAACAATACACAAAATAATATAACACAAAATATTATAAAACACTGCCATGAAAAACTAAAGATCCCCATGACAGAGAATTATATCATGTGCACAGATCAGAAGATTTAATATTGTTAAGATGTTGCCATTTGGGGGGTGAACCAACGGAAAGAAGACCTTTCTAACTCTACCTGTCAAATAAGTAAAAATAAATAAATAAATAAATGTCAGTTCTTGCCACATTGTTCAACAGACTCAAATGAAATTTGAATCAAAATTCTACAAGGTATTTTTCTTGGTAAGCTATTTGTAAGTATAAAGAATGGTCAAAATAATTTTGAAAAAGAAGAAAGTCTGAAAGTGTACAGTACTTGACATGTAATTCTAAAGCTACATTAATCAGGGTAGTGTGGTGTTAGCATAGAGACATATGGATCAATTAAAAAGTGTAAAAATCTAAACATAAATGGTGGATTTTTTTTTCACAAAAGTTCCAGGGTGATTGAATGGGAAGAATAATGTTTTTCTTTTTTTATTTATTTATTTATTCTTTTTGACAGGCAGAGTGGACAGTGAGAGAGAGAGGCAAAAAGAAAGGTCTTCCTTTGCTGTTGGTTCACCCTCCAATGGCCGCCGTACCGCGCTGATCCGAAGGCAGGAGCCAGGTGCTTCTCCTGGTCTCCCATGCGGGTGCAGGGCCCAAGTACTTGGGCCATCCTCTACTGCACTCCTGGGCCACAGCAGAGAGCTGGCCTGGAAGAGGGGCAACCGGGACAGAATCCGGCGCCACAACCGGGACTAGAACCCGCTGTGCCGGCGCCGCAAGGTGGAGGCTTAGCCTAGTGAGCCACGGTGCCGGCCAAGAAGAATGTTTTTCAACATGTGTGCCAGGAAAGCTAGATATACATATGGTAAAAAAAAAAAAAAAAAAAAAAAACACCAGGACAGGACACCTCACACCATACACAAAAATTAACATGAGGAACTGGTGCTGTGGGGTAGCACGCTAAGCCTCTGCCTGCAGCGCCGGCATCCCATATGGATGCCGGTTAGTGTCCCAGCTGTTCCTCTTCCAATCCAGCTCTCTGTTATAGCCCAGGAAAGCAGCAGAAGATGGCCTAAGTGCTTGGGCCCCTGCTCCCTTGTGGGAAACCTGGAAGAAGCTCCTGGCTTCAGATCGGCCCAGCTCTGGCCATAGCAGCCATCTGGGGAGTGAACCAGTGGATGGAAGACCTTTCTCCCTGTCTCTCCTTCTGTTTGTCTCTCAAATAAATAAAACCATAGAAGAAAAAAAAAGAATCAATGAACTTAAAGTTATAGCAACAGAATTATTAAAAAATAAAACTTTTCTTCAAAATACACTGAAGAAAATGAAAACAGTACCGACGGAAGAAACATCTGCAATACATATATCCGATAGCCAACTTACATCAAGAATATACGAAGCATTCTTCTAATTCAATATTTTTGAGGCTTTATTTTATTTTATTTGTTTGAAAGACAGAGTCACAGAGAGAGGTAGAGACAGAGAGAGAGGCCTTCCATCCGCTGGCTCACTCCCCAGATGGCTGCAGTGGCCGGAGCTGCACTGATCCAAAGCCAGGAGCCAGGCGCTTCCTCCTGGTCTCCCGCGTCGGTGCAGGGCCCAAGCACCTGCTGCCCTGCAGCTGGCAGCGCCTCATCAGCAGCAGCTGCTGTGAGCTGTGAGGCTCAATAACCACTGCAGTCCTGTGACCAAACAGATGGAGTTTGCAAATGAGAACAGGGCCAATCAGAAATGGGTTCACGTCTGGCTCCTGCATCCGACTGAACACGTTTGCGACCACGGAGCAGTTACCTCACCTCCCTGAGCCTCAACTTCTTCAACCACAAATGGGATAATGTCAGCACCAACTGCACAGGCTGATGTGAGGATTAAGTGACATAATGCGCACAGAATGAAACATGTGCAAGTGACAAAATATGTATGGACTACAACAGCGACTGCATCTAGAAACCTCTTTCTAGAAGATTGGAAAAGCAAGGGGAGGCAAGGCATGTGGATGTGGTAAGGTTAAGAAAACAGGATGCCATTTGGAGGGATCCAAATAGACACAACATAGCCTTGTTACACGAGGGGCGGGGTACAGCATACCCTGATGAGGCCTTAGCTGTGTCCAAAACCTGCTCAGCCCCCCAGCTGATAACTCAGCACATGGTTTTCCCTTACATGCTTGATTTTGTTCAGATCTCTGTTACTGAAAAGCTTGGAACAGTCACGTAACTCATCCCAAAGTTTCCCAAGAGAACTGTTTCACTCTACTAAGTAATTGAAATTGTTATTTACCTACAAGTCCTCCCACTTCCGAAATTACTACCACTGCTTGGTGCTATCCAACATTTTAACAATAAAAATATGGTACCTTCTCCAATAACAGCACACTACTTCAAAAGCTTTTGTTACAAAAAATTTCCTAATAAAACGAGCTTTGACACCTGTAGGGTCCTTTCTCAATAAAGCCTCCTTCCCTCCTATCTATCTATCTATCTGAAAGGTAGAACACAGAGAAAGAGACAAAGAGATCTTCCATCTGCTGGTTCACTCCCCAGATGCCCACTCAGGAACCAGGAACTCTACCTGGGTTTCTCATGTGAGCAGAAGGAAGCATCACTTGCTGCCTCCTAGGGTGTGCATGAGCAGGAAGCTGAAGCAGAAGCAAGGCTAGGGCTTGAATCCAGGCACTCCGATATGGATGCAGGTGTTCCAAGGAGGAGTTTAACTGCTGTGCCATGACGCCTGCCCCTTGATGAGTTTTCCTTTCAAAGAAAGGTAAACTTTTCATGAGGGATACACACTACAAAAGGGCTTATAAATTTTAGTTAGAAAAGATGGTGTCACATAATACAAACTTCAAGGCCGGTGCCGCGGCTCACTAGGCTAATCCTCCACCTAGCGGCACTGGCACACCGGGTTCTAGTCCTTGTCGGGGTGCCGGATTCTGGATTCTGTCCCGGTTGCCCCTCTTCCAGGCCAGCTCTCTGCTGTGGCCAGGGAGTGCAGTGGAGGATGGCCCAAGTCCTTGGGCCCTGCACCCCATGGGAGACCAGGAGAAGTACCTGGTTCCTGCCATCGGATCAGCACAGTGCACCGGCCACAGCGCGCTGGCCGCGGCGGCCACTGGAGGGTGAACCAACAGCAAAGGAAGACCTTTCTCTCTGTCTCTCTCTCTCTCACTGTCCACTCTGCCTGTCAAAAACAAAAACAAAAACAAAAAAAAAAAACAAAAACAAAAACAAAACAAAAAAAAACACTTCATAAAGATATTGTAGATCTAAATTTTAAAACTTTGTTACAGATATGTAGAAGGTCAAAAGCAAACTTAATAACTTTATCATAGTCCAAAAGAAAATTGAGCAGGTATTGTTTTCCATAGTTTACAAAATCCATACCTGTATGATCAATAAATTTGCTTTTGCTATTCTATTACACTAAACTTTAAAAGAAATGTTTTAAAAACTGCTAACAGATTTAACCAAGATTGCATTTAAAAAGTCACCCATCTTTCCCATCCTTTAAGAGTAATTTTCAGCTTCTTAAAAATTTGCTTATTTAATATTTGAAAGGCAGAGAGAGAGAGATCTTCCATCTGCTGGTTCACTCTACAAAAGCCTGCAACAGCTGGAGTTGGGCCAGACTGAAGCCAGGAAGGAGCTGGAACTCCATCCACATCTCCCACATGTGCAGCAGGCACCCCAATATTCGAGTTATGCCCTCGCTGCCTCCCAGGGTGAACATTAGCAGGAAGTTGGAACTGGGAGCAGCGCTGGGACTTGAAGCGGGGCACTCTGGTATCAGATGTGGGCATCCTGAGCAGCAACTTAACCACCGTGCCAAATGCCCACCTCGTGTTCAGCTTTTAATGTGATGGCTTTCAGTTAACTTTAAGCCTCAAGGTCAATTTTTATTTGGTCTCAACATACAGCTCACTTTCTCTGCATTCATTTATTTAAATTCCTGTTTCCCAAGGTCAATTTAGGGTCACGGAGGTGGGGAGAGGGAGGGCCTAAGGAGCTGAGAGCCAGTAAATCAAGGGCTGCCTGCCTTCTTTTTCACAGTTCCACATCCATTCCAACTCTGTTCTTTCTTTGGATGGATGCTCTGTGCCCAAGATGTAACGAACAGTGATATACACAATTCTGCTCGTTGGGCAAGCATTTGGT